TGAGAGCGAAACAGAGACCCAAGGAGTGAGAAAGTAGAACAGGAGCCTCATTGTGACACTATGCTGGAAATGAATTCACTTTAAAGGGAGTCCAGCTTGGGATCTATCTAAAGGTTTCAGTTCCTGAACTACCAACATGCCTTGTTAAGTGGTGGCGTGGATCCTGAATGTAATATGTATCTTCTTGGGTTTACTAATCTCATCCTTGTTAAGTGGTGGCCTGGATCCTGAATGTAGTATGTATCTTCTTGGGTTTACTAATCTCATTCTCAAATTCCCCAATGCTCATTCTCGTCTAGACTTTCCTCCTGCATATCTGCCCCTCATTTCTCTTCCCACTTCTCCCCTACTGCTCATCAAAATGGATTAGAGCTTTGAGACACCCAAAAGTGGCTTTGGAGCTCTAAAAATATCAGCTTATTATACCAGAACAACCACTTCCAGATATTAAATTAGGGTGTTGTCAGTATCCAAATAATGCATCAGGGGACTAGGTAGGAGTTGGTGGATAGCACTGTGCTTGATCCTTAAAGACATTGAAATAAATGTAAGAAAAAAGGTTGCTATGAAAGGTCACTTAATGTTAGTTTCAGTGTCCTTATTTTTCTTCCTTTAGGAAGCTATATGCAGAATTTTTGAATCCGGATAGAAGGTTTCATTTTTAAAAAGTGAAAATTCTCTATGCTTTCATGGAGCTACAAGAGCAGCTTTAAAATATCAATGTTCTTGTTCTGCTCTCCTAAGTCAATTTTTTCCCCAACACTCAAATTTAAGGAAAAGGGCAGATTTCAATCTTATTTGTAAAAAAGGAAAGAGTTGATAGGAAGTTCTACGATGTTTTAGGCCACTGAAAATATTCACATGAGAAGTTTTCTAAAAAGCAAGGACAAAGGGTATTTTAAGAAGGTGCTTTCGAATTGGCTGAAATTCTTTGCTTTAGTTATACATTTTGTTTATATAAAGCATCCACCTTTTTCTGGAAAGCACTCTTCAGGCAATCGATCCAATCATATTTCTCCACACATCTGGTTTTATTTGATAGTTCCAGAGAGGGCATCTGACCCAAGCCAGGTCAATCAGAACTTGTGAACTCTTGGACAGCGAAGAGAAAACCCCAGTGCGACTTTAGAGGCAGACTTGGGCATTTGGGCGCTGCCAGCACTTGTTTTTGATGTGTACAGACTGGTTCGAGAGAGCCAACAGCCAGAGATGGCGAGTCTTGGGATTGTACCACTCCAGGGGCCCACTGATCTTGAGGCGTACAGTGGAGACTGGCACGGACTTCACTGGTCCTTATTAAGTACTAGACATTCAGCTCTAGGTATTTTTCATGTTTCTCATTTAAATCCTGAAAATCCCATGAGATAAGTACCATTAGGTTCTCCCGGGTTTATAGAGACTTCTGAGGCATAGCTTGAAGGCTAAGTAACTGAGCTGGGGTTCAAAGCCATGGGGTCAGACTCCAGAACCAGTGCTGTGAACCACATTATTCTTTGGTCTCTAGGCCAGTGAGCAATTTCCCTTAGCAAAGCAAGTTTGAGTTGGGTATCTTGCACTTTCAGCCAAATTATGTAATATGTATGCATTGTAGGTATACTAATACACTAATCAAAGTAATCAAAGGAATACCTGAAAGTATGTCCAAAGCCACTCTATCTTCCTCCTCAAACTTGTTTCCCTTCCCTTTCTCACTAAATGACATTTTCATCCATACAAGATGAAATGAAATCTTGGGAGTCACTCTGGATCCCTTTCTTCCCAACCTCCACATCACCTCATCTTATATCCCAAACCACTTTATTCTACAAACACATCATTTGGCAGTTAAAATGGACAAAACCTGATCTTCGTATCAGCCCCCTTCTCTTTATTCCCACAACTAATGCCCTAATTCATACAAATGGCCTTAACCTTCTTTAACCTTTCTGTGCCCTAGTATCTTCACCTGTAAAATGGGGTCAATCCTACCTACCCCACATATGACATTTGAGGAAGATAAAAGTATGAAAAACACTTAGCACAGTATTCAATAACTGTTAGGTATTTCTTTTAGGAACTAAACTCTTATATGTGCTCATGGACATTTTCATTGCTTTTATGGCAAAAACATTAACTGTAATGAAAGAGTCTTCAGGTGAATACGATTTCATATTTTTGCACTTCTCCAGGTGACTTTTCAACATAAATTCTTAGCACACACACACACACAAAACCTCACCCCCGCAAAACCCAACAACCTTCAATCCCCTCCTTAATTATTCTCTATTAACAGATACGTTAGGGATTGCCATGTTTCTGAAAAGTATAGCACATTATATACTACATTCAGAATCAACTTCCTTGATTATATCAAGTCAACTTTAAGAGTTTTAAGTTGTTAAAATATCTCTTGTTCAGTGAATATTCAAAGGTACAAATTCATTTATTCATCAGAAGAGTTGATGTATCTTATAGGTTACATACAAATACACATATTATTCATATTCCACTTCATATTAGATTCTTTTGCTTGATACCCAATTTTGGTTTAATAAAACATAAAAATAATGCATACTGTAAGAATCAAGTATAATTTAAGACAGCCATTCAGCCCTTTCCATTAAAACACACACACACACACACACAGGAATTTTAAAGTAAAATTAAGCACTTCTTTTCATTAGCCTTCTAGGAAATGTAGCCAACATAAGCCTATGGGTGGGGTGTTTAAGACAAAACAAACCTGAGTTGTTCTTTGTGAAACAGAAAAGGAAAATATAATAATCAAGCCCAGACTCATGATTTCCTTATATTTTTCTTTCCAACATATATCTTCATTGCCTAGTTAATTAAGGTTCAAACTTGAAAGAAGAGGAAGATAGTATACTAAGTTACCCTAAAGGACTACTTCCCCTTACCGATTTTCTTACCTTTCACTACCATCCATGTTGTTTACTACATTAACACCTAAGTGTATCAAGTATCAGGTCCTGTTAGAACCAAGAACCAGATTTCTGGCTTATAAACGAGATATATAATTTGTTTTCAAACACAAAGCAAAGCACAGGGAAGGGAAAGAGTAGTGAGGAATCACATTATTAAAACTTCAGAGGTTTTAAAAGTAGCTATTGGTAATGGTAATAAGCTGCAGGTCAAAGTGTTCCCTTCTGTTCTCAATGGTATTAAAAACTCAGGGATCTTGCCACACCAATACTTGTCCAGGTATCTGAACAGATTTCAGGCCCTTTAAGAGAAAGAAAAACTTAAATGCTGACCAACATTTTTATAGTGGCATATGGTTTTCTTTGATCCATAAGATTAGGCAAACTTTGTTACCCACACATCTCACTTCCTCAGTGGAATTGAGGTCCATCTTGGGGTAAAAAAAAAAAAAAATCAGAAGCCTTCATCACAGTATCTAACAAAATCTGATTAGAGACTACTATAAAAATGACAGTGAAAATAAGGAAAATTTAAGACTATCCATACAACTTCAGGATGGGAGAAATATTTTTAAACATGACAGGAAAAACAGAAGGTGTAAAAACTGACAAGAGTTGACCACACAAAAATTTTTAAAAAGGTACAATAAATCATGTCAAAATATAGACAATGGGAAAAAATATTTGCAACACAAAAAACTTAGAGGTGTTAATATTCTCACTACAAGAAGAAGCACCGATTAAAAATTTTGTAATATTGGCAATTTATAGATAAGGAAATGGAAATATTCATTAAGCATTAAAAGAATGCTCAAAAAAGATCATAGACATACCAAATTAAAACACAAAACCATCGGACTGGCTAAAAAAAAAAAAATCAGTATTATTTATTTAAAAGATTTTATTTATTTGACAGAACAAGACACAGCGAGAGAGGGAACACAAGCAGGGGGAGTGGGAGAGGGAGAAGCAGGCTTCCCGCTGAGCAGGGAGCCTGATGCGGGGCTTGATCCCAGGACCCTGAGATCATGACCTGAGCCAAAGGCAGACGCTTAATGACTGAGCCACCCAGGCTCCCCGTTAAGATCAGTATTATTAAATTTATAGTACAAGTGGGGATATAGGATAATGGTGACCAATGGGGAGAGTAAATCACTGCAAGCCTGACTTCAGTAGTACATGGGAATCTGTATCTTACTTAAGTGTCACTACACATTATATGTAAGAACATTCACTACATTAATAGTAAAAATGACAAATAACCTAACCTACTTATGGCAGTTGGTTAAGTTGGGGAACCATTAATACAGCAGCTGGCTGTGCTATTGAAAAGAAGACAAGGAAACAGATTTTGCCATTAGAGTCTCGAGAAGGAATCAGCCCTGCTGATACCTTTTCAGGTCAGTGAGACAAATTAAGAGTTCTGACCTCCAGAACTGGTAATAAATTTATGTTGTTTTAAGCCATTAAGCTTGATGCAATTTTTTACAGCACCAATAAGAAACATACAACATAATAATAAGGGGCAATAAAAGTAGTATGTAGACAATAGTTTCCAGAAATGCCCTTACTAAAGTTTAATGTGGAGGCCATCAATTTCTGGTATCAACAGGGAGTTTGGTACCACATATGAACCCATTGTTGAGAGCAGTGCTAGGTATATAAAGAGATAAGTAATAAATAGCTTAGTATAGATAGGAATTAAAAAAATTTTTTTTTAATTGAGGTATAAATTAACATATAACCTATCAGTTTCAGGTGTACAACAGGATTAAATATTTATATATTGCAAAATGATTTCCTTTTCTCTGTATGGATTTTGAAAATTAGTAGAAATGTGTCTATCACAACAGAATCAGTCCTATAACTGTTTTTCAGACAGAAGTTTCAACAAACTAGATTCTAAGTATCAAAATTTCATTTTAATGAAGCAGATTCCTCTTAGGGATCCCAAGAAACCAATTTTCATTTTTGTGGAAATACATATTCTAGTAAGTTTGAAACTCCTCAGCTCAAAAGATCAAAGACATGTACTCTAATGCTTTAGTGTTATTTATAAACACGAAGAGGATTCCAAGGTTATGTTTCTACTTCCACTAGAAAGACAATCAGATAAAAAAAAGTCTAATCACATAAAGGAATATAAAACTATTTATTGACCACTGTTTACCAGTATTTACAATAAAGTAAACAATATACAGTTGGATAACATTCTGACTACAAAGTTATTGTTTTTCCTGGTTTCTGCTGAACCAGTAACTCAAATACTGAGAAGACTGAGCCTACATGTCAGGAACGAGTTGGG